AAATTTTATAACCAATTGTAAAATAAAAATACTTTAATGGACAATTTTCATGTAAAACAAAGCCAAACGAATACTAAATTTTGATTAAAAAATGATTTTTTAGGAAATATTTTTTTCTTTTTTGGTTTTTTTCTTTTTGATAATGGAAACAAATTTTATAACCAATTATGCAAAAAATTATCACTTTAATGGACAATTTCCATGTGAAAGAAAGTCAAATGAACCCAAAAATATCCAAAATTTTAAAATTTTCCAAGTGAAAAATTATATCAACCAAATACACTTAATTAACAATTCCCTGAGAAATAAGTTATAGGCAATTATTTTCTTTGAAATTCATTTTCTTTTCACCAATTTTCCACTCAATCATTTATAAGTTGGTTTATGTTTACATCTTTATTCGATGTGGGATTCTGTCCCTTAACATGCCCCGACAAAATGGTAGCTCATTTAAACAGACCAATCTTGAAAGTCGTATACTCACTTTTGGAGTCTTAACCGAATTGAATTGGTCGATAGAGTTTAATGAGTTTTGATACCATGTTAAAATTTGAGGTTCCTTCTTAAAATGTCAAGCTTATTAAGATAAGTAATACAATCATTTTATAAGTTGGTTTATGCTTATATCTTTATTCGATATGAGATTCTATCACTTAACACATAACCCATAGGGAAATTCCATTTGTACAGGAGAGGTCAACAGTCGATCACATGCGTGCAGGCACCGCACGATTAAAAAATTCAAAAAAAAAAAAAGTGGACCCCTCCCATTGTGTGTGTTTGGTCAACATATATGTCAACCATTTGGTTGTACAAATAGCATAATTGTAGCCCATAACATAATGGTGTCCATAATTGACACGTTCCCAGAAAAATTGCTTTGGTCTATTTCCATTTGCACATATTTCCATTTCCTCGAAATTTGGGAATTGTTTCCTTTCCAATACATTGCGACGCCACTCTTTTCCAATATGTTAAATAAATGAGTAACTTACTATTTTAATTAGAATAGAGTATTTTTTTTTTTTTCTTCTTTTTTTCCTTTTTAAAACATCTCCATACTGTCTAAGTAATTTATAGAAATTGAAACTGAACTATCTTGGTCACACGAGACCTCAATAAGACAATACAATTATTACAAGTTGGAAACGTAATGTATAATATGTAAATGGATTA